AAGTATATATTTCTGGTTCTTTAATATTACTATTTTGAGGATTAATTTGTATAACCGAGAGGAGTGCAATTAATTATTCAATTTAAGTAATAATATATAACTGTAATCGTGAGAGGCATTTATACATTTGTGAGAAATAAAAATTGAAGGATAAATATATCTACTATATAATAAAAATATTAAGTGAAGTCAGGATCCCAACACCATTTTATTATTTTTGTGAAACACAAAAATATTTTCTATTGCTCTATCTATTCATGTATTTTTAGTTCGTTATTTCACAATTCAACTCTTTCTGATTTTCTCAAATAGTAAATTAAACAAGAAACGCCAGTAGAATAGATAAACCAAGCTATGTAGGTTCGACATCTTTCTATACTATAATTTGACAGAGTACGAGTTAGAAATTTACATACACCAGACACTCTTCAAATTTTTGGCGCCGCTGCCGGGGATTGGTAACATCCACTTCAGATTAATTGTTTTGTGACTAATTTAAGAATTTACTTTTATTAGAATTAATATTGTTGTTATCTTTTTTGTATTGTTTTTTGTTACTACTGTAACTATTGATACTAGTAACATTTGTTTTCCTAGTTTTCTCTTATTAAGGATATTACTATTTACTATCGTTTTCTTTCTTCCATCTTTTAAATTTTTATTTTACTCTACAATATCATACTATTATTTTAAGGATCAGCTAGCTCTTTTCATAAATTAAAAAAATTATTTTATTTATTATCACTAGTTCTACTAATTATTTTAATTTTTATATATACAATTGTTTTCCCTTTAGTGTCACCACTACTATCTTAGGAACAAAGTTTAATCTTTTGTCATGACCCAAATCCTAACCTGTAGTGATGGTGCCTATCGTGGTACTAGGTCAGCCGATATTTCCAAAATTTAACAGAAAAATGAATAAAAGTAGTTTTAAATGACTAAATTCTCACAAACGGGGGAAGACCGAAAACACAAATACGGAACATAACTCCCAAATCGGGGTGTCACTGAGCTCATGAGTATCTATACATCGCCAATTTAGAAAAGTAATAACCACGAAAGTCTGGATCTAAATACAATAAAAGAAAAGATAAGAAAGGAGAAACAAGGACTGCGAACGCCGAGCAGCTACCTCGTAATCTCCAGAGATCAGCTGTGCACGATATCAACATCCACTGTGTCCGGAAACACCTGGATCTGCACACAAAGTGTAGGGTGTAGTGTGAGTACAACCAACTCAGTAAGTAACAAGACTAAATAAAGAACTGAAGATAGTGACGAGCTTCACAATTATAGTTCAATTTCAGTATTCTCAATAAAGAAAGTAGACATGCTTTCAAATCCAGCCATTTAAGTCAAATCAGTTTATACATGCCAAGTTCAACTAAAAACCGGATATAATATCTCTCAGAAGTTTGAAAATAGTGATAAATGGCAACTATGTGCAACAACAATGAAATCAAATACAGCCTCTTAGAGCAACAGTTACTCAGTCCTTCCAATCACTCCAACCTCACAATCACTCATTCCTCACAGCCACCCATTCCTCACAGTCACTCAACACTCGGCACTCAGCACTCGACACTCGCACTCAGTAGGTACCTGCGCTCACTAGGGATGTGTGCAGACTCCATATGGGCTCCTTAAGCCCAAGAGCTATATCAAGCCAATCATGGCATAAATCAATAAAATATGCTGCAGTGCGCAGCCCGATCCCATAAATGTCCTCACAATCATGCCCTCGGTCTCACTCAGTCATCAATCTCTCCAGTCTCTCGGGCTCTCAAAAATTATAAAAATCGGCCCAAACAACAATTATATGATGTATCAACAAAGAATTAATAGAGACTAAAATATGATATACGAGTAAAATCTAAGATTGAGTACAAATAGCACTTAGTAGGTAATTCGACATGTAACACGACCTCTGTGGGTCCCAACAGTACCAACACATAGCCTAAACATGAGCTGTAGCATGATTTACAGTCAAATTTCTATAACACTTGGAGAGCATATAGCTAACAACAAGTTATTGAACTTTACAGTTCCACGGAATGGACCAAGTCACAATTCCTGCGGTGCACGCCCGTACGCCCGTCACCTAGCATGTGCCTCACCTCCAAATCAATCGCATAATACATAATACGGGGTTTCATACCTTGAGGATCAAATTTAGAACTGTTACTTACCTCAATACGAGCAAAATCCCTACTCCAATATACCTTTGTCTCGCAAGTTGGCCTCCGAACGTCTCGAATCTAGCAACAAATAATACAATACAATCAACACGGGCTAAGGAATCAATTCTACAAGAAATTGCAAAGTTATAACCCAAAATCCAAAATTGGTTCAAACCGGCCCTCTCGAGCCCACGTCTCGGAATCCAACAAAACTCACAAAAACCAAAAGCCCATCCAACCACGAGTCCAACAATACAATTTTTTATCAAAATCCAATACCAATTCGTCACCCAAATCCCCAAATTATATATCAAAAACACAACTAATAGGTGGGAAAATTAATGGGAAAGCATAATTATTGAATAAATTTAACTACAACTGACTTACCCCAAGAATCCCTTCGAAATCCCTCTAAATAATCGCCCAATTCCGAGTTTGCCAAGTCAAGAAATGATAAAACCCTCGGAACCCAATGTTTATATTCTGCCCAGGCTTTCCGCACGTGCGGCCACTTATCGGTACCTGCGGAACCACTTCTACTGTTAAATCTCTGCTTTTGCGGAATTCACTAACTCAGCTGCCTCCGCTCCTGTGAGCCTTGGACCGTATCTGCGCAAATCGCCGCTGCGGAAAAGTCCATTGCACTTGCGCACAGAACCACACCTGCGCCCATCGCCCCGCTTCTGCGACCACGTAGGTGCGGGAGAATCTTCGCACCTGCGACCTTTGCTCATCTCCTCCTTTCTCGCTTCTACGGACTCTCTTCCCACTTCTGTGGGCTCGCACCTGCGGTGCCCACTGCGCAGATGCGATTACACTAGCAGTGGAAATTCTTCAGCCACTCTTCAACTTTAAAACTTGATCTATTAACCATCCGAAATCAACCCGCGACCCCTGGGACCTCAACCAAACAAACCAACATATCTTAAAACATCATACGAACTTAGTCGAATCCTCGAACCACCTCGAACAATATCAAAAACACAAATCGCACATAGATTCAAGCCTAATGAACTTTGAAATTTCCAAATTCTATAAATGATGCCGAAACCCATCAAATCACGTCCGATTGACCTCAAATTTTGCACACAAGTCACAAATGACACCGTGGACCTATTCCAACTTCCGAAATCCCAACCCGACCCCGATATCAAAAAGTCCACTCCCGGTCGAACTTCTCAAAAATTTAATTTCGCCATTTCAAGCCTAATCCACTACGGACCTCCAAATCATAATCCAAACACGCTGTCAAGTCTGAAATTACCCAACAAAGCTAACGGAACCATCAAAATTTAAATCCGGGGTTATTTACACATAAGTCAATATCCGATCAACTTTTTCTAACTTAAGCTTTCCATTATGAGACTAAGTTTCACAATTTACTTCGAAATCTCTCCGGACCCGTACCAACTAATCCGGTAAGTCATAAAATAGCTGTAGAGCACAAAAAGAAGCAGTAAATAGGGAACGGAGCTACAACTCTCGAAACGACCGGCCGGGTCTTTACATTTTCTTTCTTTTAAGAATTTCAGGTAGTTTATGACCCGCTCCTCTACAAAAGAGTTGGCGAGCTACGACCTAGAAATTGAAAAATCTCTTCAATTGCGCAGGAAAGTACAAACATCATCTTCTCAATGCGTAGCTTGTGAAAAAATGGAGAATGAAGGGCTTAACAACAACGAACTTCCACCACATCAAGTAGAAGAACAGTTTGATAAAGTGGTACCACGACGTGATAGAATACTAAGAGATTATGCAAGGCCGGGTCATTTTGAAGGAGAATCAAGTGTAAGGAGACCACTAATTACAACAAACAACTTTGAAATTCGCACATGCTTGATTCAAACCATTCAACAATCATGTCAGTTTGTTGGTGATGCAAGTGATGATCCTCACACTCATTTAATTGACTTTCTTGAATTAGTTAAAACTTGCAGGTACAATGGAGTCACAACAGATGCTATCAGGTTGTGACTTTTTCCTTTTTCGTTAAAAAAGTGAAGCCAAAACGTAGTTGAGAAGCTTACCAAGAGGTTCACTCACTACATGGGACCAAATGACTCACAAATTTCTTAATAAATATTTTTTACCTGCTAAAATATTTAAAATAAAGCAAGAAATTAATAATTTTGTGCAAACAGATACTTAATCTGTATACCAAGCATGGAAACTATTAAAATCAATGCTAAGAAAATGCCCACACCATGGTATCTACGATCCTGATATTTTATATATTTTTTATCATGGATTTAAACCCTCTGTTAGAAATGTTATTGATGCAATATCAGGAGGATCCATAATTAGCAAAACCACTGCAGAAGTCATGCAATTACTCAATAAAATTTCAGAAAATGTTGTTCAATGGCCCTCTGACAGAATGATTGTTAAGAAAGCAGCAGGAGTCAATCAGGTTGAAGCTTGGAATTCATTAGCGCAACAAATTACAACTCTGACACAAAAAGTTGAGGCCTTTCAGGTAAATACTCAATTATCATCTCAACATGAGAATTGTGACATTTGTGGAGGTAATCATCACAATCATGAGTGTCAAGCTTCAATGCAAAATGAAGAACAAGTAAATATTATTGGTTATAGAATCCATTCGGTAGTCCTATGGCACAAAAACATCCGGGATTCCAATGGAGTAACCCAAATGGTGCTGAAAATCCTAAAAGATTTTTCAATCAAAAGCAGCGGGTGCAGGGATCACCTGGTTTTCAAAATCAAAATAGAGGGCAACGAGATTTTTAGAAATATCAACAACCGCCCCAAAGAGCTCATCAGCAAAGCCTCGAAGACATGATGTATAAATTCATTATGGCTACTGATGAGAAGGTTAAAAGTCAAAGTTCAGCCATCGAGAATTTAGAAATTCAGATGATCCAATTAGCAACCCTCATGTCTGAACAAATAAAAGGTGCTCTACCAAGCAATACCGAGAAAAATCCAAAGGAACACCTCAAAGTCATCTCTCTGCGGTTAGATAAAACTCGTGATGATCCATATGCAGATAGACAAGGAAAGTCACAAGAAATGAAACAGGTAAATGAAGGTGAGAATAAAAGAGACTCTGAACTTCTAAAAGAACAAAAAGATAAAGAAAGAAAGGTACAAAAAAATGAATTGATGACAAATCCTCACTCTGTCCTTTTCCCCAAAATATGAAAAGAGAAAAGCTTGACAAACAATTTTCAAAGTTTCTGGATATTTTAAAGCAACTTTACATTAACATACCTTTCACAAAAGTTTTGACACAAATGCCTTCTTATGCTAAATTTCTCAAAGAAATTTTGTCAAATAAAAGAAAAATGGAAGAAGTTTCAGTGGTTAAGCTTACAGAGAAATGTAGTGCTATACTTCAAAATAAGCTTCCACACAAACTTGGTGATCCAGGAAGTTTTACAATTCCTTGTACTGTGGGAGGTGTTCAGTTTGAAAATGCATTATGTGATTCGGGTGCTTCAATAAATCTAATACCTTTTTCAATTTTCAGGAAATTAGAACTTGGTGAAATGAAAGATACTGGTGTGTCTATTCAATTAGCTGATACCCAAAGGAATAATTGAAAATGTCCTTGTGAGAGTAGATAAATATATATTCTCAATAAATTTTATAGTACTTGAAATGGAAGAAAATACAGAGGTACCATTAATCTAAGCTATGGCAAACAGCTTGTAAATAGACTAACATGTTGGTTCTTCACTGTGCTAGTAAGGTATTATATTTTATTTTTTTTTGTTTTTGTTTGTTTGTTTGTTGTCAGGTGCTCATCCAGCAGGTAACATCTTTTGATAGCTATAAAAAATAGCTTGTACATAGTTTAACCTTTTGGTTGGAATGTGATAAAATGCCAAACCTGCAATGAAAGTATCAATGCATGTTATTTAGTATGTTTTCTATTAAAAAAAAAGTTACTCATTTTATTGTCATTTTATGTTATCTTCTGTTTATAAAACGTTAAAAAGAAAAAAAAACTTTAAGGACTTTAAGGAATATATTGTACGGAAATGACGTTTGATCATGTTCTGACAACATATCATGAATATTTCAAGTTCATAGAACACTGAAAACTTCTTACTTTATACCTCCATTTTTGCTAATGTAAGTTTTCTATTGTGGTGCAACTTTGACTGTTTGAAGAAAATCAAGGCATGCTTAAATCAATATAATCAATAACTAGAACTTGCCTCTATTGTTGGTCAAGACGAAATCCTAGAAAAATGCTGATTTTAGAAAAGGAATTAGGCTACATTTGAATCGATTGAGCCTTTTTTTAATCCTACCAAATGAAAATTATCTTTAGTATCCCATTTTGAGCCTCAATATCTTTTTCTTGTTCAGATAAACCTTATAATCCAAAGCCAATATGCGCACATGTACATCTAATTTTATTACTACAAGAAGAAAAAAAAAAGAAAAAAAGGAAAAATCCATTCCTTTACTTTACTGGCATTGTGGTATATGAGTTTGAAAAGATGACAACTTGCATTGGTATAATATAGAAAAGAATGTGGATACATGTGAAGTTTTCAATGAATATTTCTAGTAAAAAAAGAGAGTATGTATATATACACATATATAAGAACATGTATATAGTATATGTATGGGTACGAGCGCGTGTTCTATTAAAAAAGAAATATATATATGAAAATTGGAAGGTTGAATAAATTAGTTCCCCGTGATCAGTACTAATTTATTTTTTGCTGAACGAAGTCATCTAACTCAGCAAACCAAGCCAGAAGGAAGGAAAGTAACTATAAAAATATTCCTTTATCCTACCAGCTCATAGCCTAACATTACAGGCCAACAAAAATTCTAAAAGATTCTAAAGTCAACATTAATCTACATTAGTGACGATTAACAACAAAGGCAAGCCTATGATTTATTGTAAATAATTGAGTCAGCATTCTTGATTTTTCTAAAACTCGAAGATGTCGTACAGTGATATTTGCAGAGTAAAAGTGGAGAAATAAAGAAAATAAGTTTTACAAAGTTCAAATAGATTGAAATTCAGGTGGAGTCATTATATGTCGCAAAGTTGCGAATGTGTAATTATTCCTCAAAAAAAAAAAGAGTTCTTTCCTCTAGGATGAGTAAAAGCTTAAATGTGGAAGAATTTGATAACTACATTTTACCTAATTTTAATGTATAACTTTCTTCATGAAAGCATAAAAATTATCATGTTTCTTTCACAATTTTAACTTGATTGCGCAGGAAATATTACAAGAAGAATTGGTGCAAAAGCAATAAGACTTCAAGAAGAAAAAAAAAAGCAACTTGCTACAAAATATGAAATGGCATAAATTCCATCTACCACAACAAAGTGGCCATAACCAGATCCAAGAATAAAAGAATCTTTCATAACCAAAACAAGCTGCTATAACCAAACTAACTTGTTATGGTTTGGTTATAAAAGCATAATTCGGCGAATGATGAAGGCCGATGGGAAAGGAGAGAGCTCAGCAGACAATTGAATCCATTTCAGAGCTTTTCCTTTTCATTTCAGTCAGTTGTTCAGTTCTTTTTATTTTTTCCTCGTCAGTACAATGGCTTTTATTTCTAGTGCCTAATAAATCTTAGCTTTAAAAATTACAGTCATGATCTTAATTTTCCTTCGTAGGATATCGTGATGGTAACTAGTCTCTAAGATTAGGTATGCCTAATAATTATGCAAAATAACGGAAATAATAAACTGAAACTCAAATCTCAACATATAACATAAATCAAACTGCGATTCAAAATAGTTACAACTCTCAATACCAGGTAGGAATAAGTCACAAGTTTCTTATAGAAGTACTTAGTTTCTCTATACATCAGAGTTTAAAGAGAATAAGGAAAAACAACATAGTAAGGATAGAGTGGGACTCCGAGGTCTGCGAACGCCGACAGATATATCATGAAATTCACTTACTCACAGCTCACTGATATCGGGTCTGGTAGGAGGTACCTGGATCTGCACAAAAAAGATGTGCAGAAGAGTAGCAGAGTACACCACAACGGTACCCAGTAAGTATCAAGCCTAACCTCAGTAGAGTAGTGACAAGGTCAGGTCAGGGCCCTACTGGAAGTAAAAAAGGAAACGAGGCAGAAGATATAATATAATATAATGAAAGACTGTGTATTTAACAATGAGAAATCCAGAAAAAATGAAACTACACAGCAAATAGAGATAAAAAATAGGGGCGCTCCCGAGGTACCGCCTCGTAGTCCCAAAAGTAAATACACAATAAGGGATCACCCGAGGTACCGCCTTATAGTCCAAAAGTAAATATGCAACTGGGGATCTCCCGAGGTACCGCCTGGTAGTCCCAAAAATAGATATGCAACAGAGGAGCTCCCGAGGTACTGCCTCGTAGTCCCAAAAGTAAATACATAACTCATAACTTAAGGAGCAACGAATTTACAACAAGAAATCCTACAATTAAAGACGGAATACAAATCAAGGAAGCAAGTAATTCAATTAAACATGTTGCACAAATTGCAAGTAAGAGTTTAAACAAGTAGGCATGCGATATTAGGCTAAACATGATGACTACACAGGCGAGGGCTACTCAGTTAAGGAATTAAAAGAAAACTACTCAGTAAGAACCGGATTTTCAACATATAACCCGTGTACATACTCGTCACCTCGCGTACACGGCCTTCACGTATTTCAAATATCACAACAGTACCAAAACCTAAGGGGAATTTTCCTCACACGAGGTTAGACAAGTCACTTACCTCAAATCAAGCTCAATCAGTCAAAAAGAATGCCTTTTTCTCGACTTTCCGACTCCGAATGGCCCAAATCCCAAACACCCATGTGAAAATATCTCCAAGAATCGCCTAAATCCGAGCTCTCAAGTCCAAATGGTGAAAAATGACATAAACCCTCGATTTTGGGATTTTAAGTTCTGCCCAGGTGCTTCCTTCTTCGCGAACGTAGAAGCTTCCTCGCGTTCGTGAAGCACAACACTGCTGCTGGCCAAAACCTTCCTACGCGAGCGCGAGGTCCCACTCGCGAACGCAGAGCTTTCCCTGTCTGACCCTTCGCGAACGAGTGCTCCTCTATACAATCACGTAAGCTGAAAGCCTGAGGCCCCAACTGACCGTTCATCTATGCGAACAAGAAGTCCCTCACGCGAACGCGTATACCTCAGACTCCACAGCTTCGCGAATGCAGGACTCTCATCGCGAACGCGAGGGAAAAAATCTCAGCAACGCTCAACTCCTCTACGCGAATGCGGGAGCAACATCGCAAACGCGTAGAAGGAAACCAGACACCAGAACTTCTGAAGCTTTTGCCATCATTCAAGTCCAAATTTTAATTCGTTAACCATCCAAAATCTACCCGAGGCCTCCGGGATCTCAACCAAACCTACCAACAAGTCCTAAAACATCATACGAACTTAGTCGAGCCTTCAAATCAAATCAAACAACGCTAAAAATATGAATCACACTCCAATTGAAGCTTAACAAACTTTTGAACTTCTAACTTTTGCATCTGATGCTAAAACCTATCAAATCAAGGCCGGTTGACCCCAAATTTTGCACATAAGTCATAATTGACATTATAGACCTACTCCAGCTTCCGAAATCAAAATTCGACCCCGATATCAAAAAGTCCACTCCGGCCAAACTCTCCAAAAATTATCCAATTTTCCAACTTTCACCAATTAACGTTGAAATGACCTACAGACCTCCAAATCAACATCCGGACACACTCCTAAGACCAAAATTACCCTATGGAGCTATTGGAACCGATGAAACCCTATTCCGGAGCTGTCTTCACATAGGTCAATATCCGGTCAACTATTTCAACTTAAACTTCAAACTTATGGACTATGTGTCCCTTTCCACTCTGAAATTCTCCCGAACCCGACACCAAGCACCCCAACAAGTCAAGTAAGCATAAAATAAAATAGGGGAAGCAATAAATAGGGGATCGAGGCCATCCTTCTTATTTACAAACAAGACTGGAGCACCCCAAGGCGACACACTGGGCCGAATGAAGCCCTTATCAAGCAACTCCTATAACTGCTCCTTCAACTCCTTTAACTCAGGAGGAGCCATATGATATGGAGGAATAGAGATAGGCTGAGTGCTCGGTAACAAATCAATGCCAAAGTCGATGTCCCTGTCGAGCGGCATGCCCGGAAGATCTGCTGAAAATACATCTAGAAAGTCCCTAACTATTGAAACTGACTCAACGGTATGAGTATCAACACTGACATCTCTCACATAAACTAGATACGCATCACACCCCTTCTCAACCATTCACTGAGCCTTTAGAAATGAAATAACTCTGCTAGAAACATAATCTAAGGTACTTCTCCACTCTAACCGTGGTAATCCTGGCATAGCCAGCATCATGGTCTTGGTGTGATAACCAAGAATAGCATAATGGGGCGACAACCAGTCCATGCCCAAAATAATATCAAAGTCTACCATACTGAGCAATAATAAATCAGCTTTGGTCTCAAAACCACTAATAACAACCAAACACGACCGATACACATGGTCAACAACAATAGAATCTCCCACAGGTGTAGACACATAGATAGGAGAACTCAAAGAATCAAGGGAT